TTGAGGCAATCTTTTTGTGTGCTTCAGGTCAAATAATCCATGATTTTGTGAACTTGTTACAAACCTGAATGGTCGTTCCTTAAACATATTCCCTAGATCGAAATCCGAATTCGACAGCAGTGGCAAAAGTAGATAAGTGTATACGTGTATGCTGATGGCGTGTATAAGGCAAAATAAAACATACGGGAATGTCCAAGGTCAAACTGAAACCTGGCCAATCAGATTATGCCCTTGGGGGTGGTTAGCAGATTGACTAGACCTCTGACTCTTCCGAATGGTTGAGCAGAGTTCCAACCCTGTCGGGGGCTGCTGCACCGTCATCATGCGCATGGCATGTGGGCAGATCTATAAAGTGACGTGGGATCGAGTCGTTAGGATGTTATGCGAACAAGTCAATTACGACGACTCCGAACGCTAAATGGTTTTAGAAACTGCCTCTCATTTGTCTGAGTTCAGGAGCTTTCGTTTTCAGAGCAGATTGTTTCCAAGCCATTCCACTGGTGGGTCTCGGACTAGAACAACCCATCGGAAGCGGCCGACTGGATTACAGATCTTTCGAAAACGGTGGAATCGCGACATATTTATTTCCTTTGGATCCATGATACATCTGATTTTCTTTGTTAACTGTTTCAGTATGTTTTAACAGAGTTACTACCTAACTAAGACAAGAACGGCTATGTCCGGCTGACGCCCCACAAGGCGAAGCCTGAATCTTAGCAATAACTTAAGCCAGAATAAGTCATAAGCCACAGATAGAGGAGCATCCATACGCCGGAACTGCAGGCCTCAGCTTGAGATCCGACTCAAACGCGCGTGAAAACTTCCGGTATGCAGCTCCTGCTTCATGTGTGATGCGCGTTTATGACTGTCATAGTTTACCGTGACTGAAAAGGCAGCCGGTTGACGCATTTAGCGGCGACACCATCAGCCCGGACTGCTTTGTATGTAGTGGCTGATAAATGGACTGAGAGTCAAATGGCGACGGCTCCTTCTAATCCCATGGTTGTATAAATCCTATTTTGTGTGTAAGGGGGAGCAGGTCGTGCTGTGAGATGCGCACACGGGTTCGGTGGCCCTGCCAATCACTACGTCCATCCCGTAACAGGCGACCGACTGACTAGGACGGTGGCATGAAGCAGGCGGTGGGGGAGAGAACGTGAAGTCGACGACTCAGTGCATTTCCTTCCTGACTATGGATAATCTGACGTGCTCAACGCTATCACGATGCGCTTAAAACCGTAATCTGGAAGTTAGTCAACTAACGGGATAACTCGGGCCGCGCAGTCAGTTCAGTGTGTGTGTTTTTTTGTTTGGAATGGCTGACTGGCGGACTGAGATTCAGGCTGCAATGGCTCCTTCATAATGTGGCATTTACGGCACTCCCACGTAGGCGGGAACTTAGCCAGATTTTGTTGCGTCATGCATTTGAG